TGCAGGGGTTTAGGGTTTAGGGTATAGGGATACTGTAGGGTTTATTGTTTAGGATTTATAAAGGGATCTTTTAAGGTTTAGGGTTTGGGGTTTAGGGATCCTTTAGGGTTTAGGGTTTAGGGATCCTTTCGGGTTTAGGGTTTACCTTGCCAGAACCACTGTGCTGGGAAGGAATGACTTTTGGAGATTTGGGGCGGAAGCTCCAAGCGGATACGATAAGCTGGTTCCCAGTTGGGGTTTATAGTAGATAAGGTTCATTTGTTATTCTTATTGGGTTTTGATGATAACAAAACATGTAAAATTGGGGTTAGAATAAACATGATCATCATTTTTAATCCTTGTTGGGGCTTATTATTGCAACAAAATGTAAAACTGTAGCCAACAGGGACCCTATAAGCTTCTGCAAGGGTTGCGGTTTACGATTTGTTCTTTTTTTATGAAATCTACAGCTCACTGGTCTGTGTTAAGGGTCACGGTATAGGAAACCCCAGAAAGTTGGAAACCGGATTGAGGACCATCTTGCAAGACCCGGAGGCCCTGCCAGAGCGCTGCTCGGTTGTCGGCGTCTGCGACTTGGGCTTGGGCTTTGGTGGCGTTGGCGAGCAGTTGGCGGATCTTCCCCAGGACCTTCTCCACATCCTTCACAACTGCTTTGCAGGCCACTTCGTAGTTGATGACCAAGCGCTCTGCAGAGCCTGCTCCCGGCCGGGGCAGCGGCAGGGCTCGCGCCAGCAGGCTTGGCAGGCAGTGCTGGGATTCACTATACAGTACGCATTGCTCTTAATCATTGAGGCTATTGGGTTTCCATTTTGGGGGCTTCTACTGCAGTGTTTTGCAACCTCCGGGTGTTGGGCGTGTAGCAGAGGATTGCAGGCGAGAAGGATGGCACAACGCCATAAAGCTAGCCCCCCTAAACCCTGAAACCCTAAACCCAACACCTCCCAGCCAATCACATAGAGGCCTTAATGATTAGAGCAGGGTTTTAGGGCCCATTCTACTATACTCATACCAAGGAATCCCCCAAATAGCATTATTGGTACTTATTTAGGCCCCTATATTGTCCTTATTGGGAAAACCCTGAACCTAAATCCTGCCGCAGCTACCTATCCTTGTTGAAGGAGGGGCTCAGTAATCAGGACGTAGCATAGTGCTGTATCACTAGATGGTCTCACAGCTCTCACGCCCCATCCAAACCGTAGGGGTTTGATGTTGATTTTTCCTTAAACCCAAACCCTAAAACCCTAAACCCTAACTCCCTTAAACCCTACATTCCTCAACCCTAACCTCCATAAACCCTCACCCTAAACCCCTAAACCCCTAAACCCCTGCACCCCAAACCCCTAAACCCCTAGACCCCAAACCCAAAACACACAAAACCCCTAAACCCTAAACCCCTAAACCCCTAAACCCCTACACCCCCCAGCTTTGGGTGCTGTTTTTTGCCTGAAATCCTTGCCTGGGTCTGCTCCGGGCTGGAAAGGCGCATTCACCATGGCCATCCTGCGAGACGGGTTTAGGCTTGGAAGGGTCTAGGGCCTAGGGGTTTGTAGGGTTTATAGGGTTTATAGGGTTTATAGGGTTTAGGGCGTCCCAACGACGGAGGATCCAGATGCGACTTAGGATCGTCTGCGTTGGGGTTGGAGGTTGTAGTAGAGATTAGGATACGTAGCATTTAGGCATTTAGGGTACTGTGTGGTGGTGCACTTGTGCAAGGAGGCCGTGAGACAGCCTCGCTCCTCTGTATCGGGTGCTGGAATGAAGGTTTAATTATGCTCCAACTCCACCTGATGCTTACACCCTCATCTGCACTGAAGAGGACCCCCCCCCCCCACATCAGCCTCAAAATCATATCGTATGAGAATGATGAACCATGTAAGAACACTACTGAATTCTCGGTCAGGGTTCGGGGCGTCAGGATGTAGGCTTGGCACTCCGCAAGCCGTAGATTTACCATGTCTAAAATGACGTCTGACATGGTTGACGTCTGATGGTTTGAGGTATTCTTCCACATCTGCTTATGGGGTTAGCCTCTTCGGCCGAAATCTCGAAGGATATAGATCCGGGAACATTCCATCTCCATCCTACAGATGGGTAGTTCTCTAAGTAAGGGTCCCTTTTCAGGTCCCCAAAATAGTACGACACCCTTGTAAAAAGGACCCCAAAAGGGACCCTACTTCAGAAACCTTCCCAGATGTTGACAAACACCCTAAACCCTAAACCCTAAACCCAAACCCTAAGCCGACGGAACAGGGCAGCACGCTTTTGCTTCGATCTCTGCCGTCGCCCCAAGCAGGCGAACAGGAGAGCCGGCCAAATGTAGCCTTAAAAGGCACTTGAAAGCATTGGGTCTAGGGCAGTTTCGGGTTTAGGGTTTAGGGCAGTTTAGGGCTTGGGGCAGTTTAGGGTTTAGGGTTTAGAGCAGTTTAGGGTTTAGGGCAGTTTAGGGCTTAGGGCATAGAGCAGTTTAGGGTCTAGGGTTTAGGGCAGTTCAGGGTTGATTGAAGGTTAATGGCTCCGGAAATCAGCATGTTCATGACATGCACGTTGTTGATTGCCGATGGGACGACATAAGCTTTGGACTATGTCTCGCAGGATGGGTGGACAGGAAAACGCCTTTTCGCTTCACATCTAAACCTAAACCTCAAACCATTGCATCCAACCCTAAGAACTCCCAACCCGGATCCAACACACCATGACAGGTTGAAGCAAACATCCTATCTGCTATTGTCTGGATCCTTGATTAGTTTAATGTACTCTTGTGAAACTAGATGCCCGGAACTCACAATCACAATCCTCAACCCTAAACCCTAAACCCTCTCCCTAAACCTAAACCTAAACCCTAAACCCTAAACTCCTAAAACCCTAAACCCTAAACCCTAAAACCCTAAACCCTGGTATCGGGTTCGAGGGCTGGGCACGATGCTGCTGCATGGCAGGAGCGCTTCACAGCAGCTGCGTCTGGCTACCAGCGCCCCTTGCGCTCATGTCCTCAGCGGTGGTGAAAGTCAGGCTTTGCATTCAAGTCTCTGGGGTTGCGTGCATAACATGGCTCTTGAGGTGTAAATCTTTCAAGGCTGGCCGGTTCTTTGTGGTGTCCATCAAGACAAGATACCCTTGCGCCACAAAAACCTAAATCCTAAATCCTAAACCACAAAAACCAAAAGGCCCCGGCTGCGCAGGACCAGGTTCGAGAGCTCTTAGGGGCTGGTTGCAGATTTCAGAAGCCCCAGTTGCCCTCACTTTCTGCCTAAATCCGCAACTAGACTAAACCCTGAAACCAACTGTGCCAGCTGAAATCCTCAACTGGGTTGTAGTTTCGGGGCCATTAAGCGTATTTACAAAGAGGTACCTCTGTATAGGAACCATAGGGGAAATTTACCAAATGTTCTCAAAGCGCAACCTAGTCAAGCTAAACGCTGATCTTCCAACATAACTCTACGACACACCGAGCGGCGCGGCTGAAAGTGCGCAGCACCCGCGGTGCAATCTGGGCCTCGTGGCCAAGACCGGCGCGATTCCGGATTCACGATCTTCCTTCAGTTTCGCCCCTCGCTGCGACAAGCAGCATAGTGCCACCTTCGACAAACTCCTCTTTAGGTCTCCTGGTTTGTGTAGATTACCCTAAACCCTAAACCCAGAATTCAGAGACATTGGCTTGGAGGCCAAGTTTGACCGAGGCTTCTGGATCACCACAAACACAGAGACATGTTGCACAGTTGGTTGGTCACATCAGAATGCTGTTTACGGAAGAAGTGCTTTCATCCCCGAAGGCAACCCTGGCCCGAACATTCCTCGAATAGGGTGTTTATACTAGTTAAGAATATATCGGGGTTTTAAAAAGGGATACGATTTCTGAAGCATTCTGAGGCCATGGCTGGATCTGCCTCCTCTTGCAGGTCCTTATCAGGCTTCTGTTGCCAAAATCACCATGATCTTGCGTGATGCACAAATCCCACAGTTTGCTCGCCGAAACATAGTCATGAGCCTTTGCTGAGCTGAAGGGCTGCTGCGCGGGCCATGGGCCGCAAGGTGCGGCCGCCGATGTGCTTAAACCTTGTCTTGTCTTGAGGGGGAGCCGAAAATCTAACGCCGAAACCCTAAACCCCAGTGGACTGTCGGGGGTGGGGGGTCGGGGCGGATAATTAGGGTTGGGTTAAGGCTGGGTCCTTGCATTTGAGAGTTGGTTTTGGCTTTCGGACATCATGGCTTGCGTGCTGAGGCTTGGGATGGAACGTTAAGGCTTACACGCTGAATTGCGGCTATCATAAAAGTCGCTATAAGGGTTGCTGACGTATTATTATGTACTTTCAGCCTTGGTGAAGAGAGTAGGGCTTCGAGCACGGGATTATGTCACGCTTATGTTTGCCAGCTGAGTCTTTGTGATCGGGTTTGAAGCTACCGGGATTCAGGGCAGCGCATAAGAGACCTTGGGTCGGGTGTCTTTAGAACTGGTTTGGTTCCCTGCTAGGGCCATATGAAAAATGATCATTTTAAATCGCTATTAGGTTTTTCTTCTGACAACCAATTTAAATTTTCTATCCAACCGAGGACCCAGAGAAGGGCATCATACAGGGTTGCATAGGGCCGCGCAGGGTGTTCTAGTTCTAGGAGGATCCTACGAGGATTCTGGGGCTTCTTGTCTCTTTACTGCGGTTTTGGGGTCGGTGCCGGACAGTTGGAGGGCCTGTGCTTAATCGGATCTGGAGCCACTCGAACCTTGCAGCGCGAAGATAAGCCCTAAACCCAAAAGCCAGCCCTTAAACTCCTGGATCACGAACCCCAACTAATCCTAAACCCTAAACCAACTTGAAACCCGGCCAACTCTAAACCTCCAACTTCCAGATCAAAACATTCCCGACCTCCGACGACCCAGACACCCTTCGCTTTCTGCGTTTTGACTCCCTGCCGGGGGTGTAAAATTTAAGATGCTGTTGCTTTTGGGTTTGCGGTTTTACGGCGCAGGTGCCAAGCCAAAAGATCTGGGTATACCTTACCATGCACCTAAAGGATGAAGAACAAACAACGAAGATCTAGCAGAGATTCGACTGGAGAAAGTTTCCTGTTTGAAGTCCCAGACCTAGACCCCAAGCCCAAAGACTTGCACCAAACCCCAAGAAGACCGAAACTCCAAGCCCGGAGCTCCGAAGATACCACAACAAGACAACAGACAAAGACAAGAACGCGGAACATTTGGACAACCCGCAAGAACGCTCCATAAGCACTTCCATGAAGCAAAAGGCTGCTTTATTGCATGTCCAGCGACTTAAATGCAGCCCAAGAGAAGGCTACGATGCAAGCAATGTTGGACAAGTAAAGATACACCGAGAACTCGCCGATCCTTAGAGGCTTTCTCAAGGTGTGAAGGATGTTCGTGGCTAAGGTTTAGGCTTAAGAGCTTAGGGTTCTAGGATTTGGGTATAAATTATAGGGCCGAGTCTCTCTGTTGTCTAGGGCCTGGGCTCCGGGAGACCCTAAACCCTAGGACTAAACCGCTCTGTGCTATTTCATCGGAGTATCAAAATCGAAATCGAAACTGTGCACGCCCGCATTCCCTGATGTCGTTGGATTGCAGCACGGACACGGGTGACGAGCACCTCGCCCAGACACGGGAAAACCATGACAGGATGACCTTGCAACAACAGAACCCGGATCCTGAATAGGAGCGATGGCCGAGTTGTGCTCGTCGCTTACAAAACCGACACTTCGGCCAGCGGTGGAATTTGCCGGTTCTCCAATGTAGCTCCGCCCCAGATCAGGAACTATATTGTAGTTTCATTGCAGAATGCATAGGGGCCCGGTAGACCCAAAGCAAATCGGAGTGTGGAGGCACGTGAGGCACCGGATTCTGCCATAAATGAGCCTCTGAGCAGCATCCTGAAGATTCCACGATTCTCCACCAAAAATCCCTCAACTGGAAAAACAAGGCATCGCACGCTAGGTTCACCCGCGACGCGGCGCGCACCAATTTGTGAAAGATTCGGCAACGCAAGGCAACACACATTTGGTGCACAAACGATACGGCGTGCGGCGTGCACAAACCTGAAAGCTAAAGAGTCTGCAACACACGTTGGGTTCACTAGCGATGTGGTGCGCATTGCACCACTTTGAAAAACGATGAGGTGCACGCGTTGATGCACTTGGGTGCACAAGCGATGCGGCACAGCAGTCGAAGTCTATGCTGTCACACTTGCACCAGACAATGCTGCAGCATTTGTGATAGCACTTCGATTTCATTTTTATGCTCTGCGCCTGCACTCATAAGCACCATACGATATAGCGCGCAGTAGTCGAAGTCCTGACAGCAACACCCACGGTCTTTGCGGCTTTCTAGCCAGACACGCAGCCGCAGAATCAGTCTGTCCTCACCAGCATTAGAAGAGCGCACTCCTGCACACCACACCGTTGCAGCAAAAATTGCATGGAGACGTGTGCAGTGAAAAATCAAGCCTCTCGCCACCACCAGCACGAAACGGTGTGCGCAGGGTGCGAGCTGCCAGCACATGGCAGCACAAGCCCCAGAATAGCTGCAAGTTGATCCAACTTCAAGCAGATCAAGCAGATTTACACTGTGTCACACACTGCAACAACCTTTGCCATAAGCCCCGGCCGCCCTGGCCTGACTCAGCCGCTGCTGCCTACCGTGCCAGTCCTCGACGCTCATACCGGACTTGTGCACCAAGTACTGGGAAAGCTCCGTCAGCACGCAATGATCCACTTTGCTGAGTAAGCCGCCAGTCCAGAGTGTTTTTGGTATGCTCACGCACACAGGCCCCGCCTCTTATGGCGCAGACTGCCCAAAATATGCTCGGCACACTCGGCCCCCAGAACAATATTGTCCTGTGGGAACCAAGTCACCAAGTCTCCCCGAACACACCCGGGGCAGCGTCTCACATGCTGTTCCCGCCACGAGAACACTCTGGTCCTGCGGGAACCACATCTTCCCGAAAGAACTTGCGGGCAGCCGCATGCGTTTTCAGCCTGGCCAGCGCACGGAGATACTGGGCATCAACAAACTTCAAAACACAGCACACCGCTCCGCTAGTCAAGCACTGCGTGAGTGACCAGCAACACACCTCTCTGTGGCTTTCGTGCTCGTGCCGCGCAGCACGCTGACGTCGAAAGCTCTGTTCATCAACTCTTCAGCCTTGACCCAAAAAACTGAAAAACATGGCCTTCAAAGACACACCGCCAGAGACTGACAGCACAATGCAGCGAAGCCCCTGAGGCCCTCACCGCGTACACGAGTGACACGTCAATCTTCTCAGGAACCTCGAGCTTGTTGCACATGTCCTGCATTGAGCGAGGTAGTCCACCACGGGGTAAACCCTCGGGCAATCGGTGACCTCATTCGCACTGTAGCCGCAACAAATGCCCAGCTGCGTTGTGGGCCAAGACCTGCATCAGAAGGGCCGTGCTAATGGCCGTCACACCCGCTTCGTCCTCGCGACATAAGCCCAAATTTTGCCACATCCCATAGCAGAGTGTTACACGGCCACACCCCGCCACTTCACCAATCACCAGTTTCTGCTGCGCGTCCTGCGGCTGCTGCCGCGCACAGGCGGTGGCCCGGAAGCTCATATTGGAGACAAGGCCCCGGGCGTGCGGTGGCGTGTCCAGGGCCAGGGAGAACCGCCTAAAAGCTAGGCCTCGACGATCAGATGAGCAGGCGGGGCTATGAGACAAAGGTTTGACCCTGAAAGGGTTGAGGGGTCGTTTCGGGGCGGTTTAAGTGTCGAGGGACTTTATAAGTATAGGCTATTAGCTAAGTTTGATTTGGGGTGGATGCTGCTCATATAGCATAGCATTCTCGTAGCAAACTGAGAAGTCCGCTATCCATCAAACAGGGTCCAGGAGGGCTGAGAATTGAGAGTTTAGCGTTCACGGAGCAAATGCCTTAGGGTCTTCGACGGTAGGTGACAGGGCTCCCTGTTGGGAACACGCTTAAGATTGTTTGGGGTACGATCGATTGAAAAAGCTGGGAATGCGGAAAAAAAGCTCTTCGGCTTCGGCTCGAGCGGATGTGCCTGAGAGGGAACTGAAGGCCTGAGAGTTGGATTGGTGGATTTTTGGGGGCTTCTGGGACAGAGGGATCCGGGGTTTGGGATGAGTTTGAGGGGTCTAGAGTTAAGGGTTTGCTTCCGAGACTGTAACCAAAACAACGGTGGCTGCCACCATCTGTATCTCCACAAGGTGCAAAGACAAAACAAACAAAGCGAGCAGAAGCCTGCAGTACTAAGTGAAATCGGCAACGGCTTTATTGGTAGGGGTCCACACGCTTTGTAAACGGTTCATAGGGCTTAGAATGGCTTAAAATAATATGTACTTGGCTCCCGGTGGTTAAGGTTTAGCGGGAACCCTCTATGATTTCATGCCCTGAGCACTGAGCCCAAGCTCGCTTGCTTCAATCGGCAAGTGGCTCGCTGAGGAAGTAGCCTCCTTTGTTATGGAGCTTGGGGAAACTCGTCTGCAAAGTCCACCTCAGATCCAAACAAGCTTCCTGCAGTAAGTCCAACGGCAAGGCTGCCTCGGATGGAGGGTTACAGGCAGTCTACAACAGTCTGGTTCTCAACCCCAAATACAAGTACCACCCTTCAGCATGACTGAAGTCTTGCATGATTAGATACAACGGTTCGAGGTACTCGTTTTGGGTGATCTCAACCCCACCCTAAACCCTAAACCCGAAACCCTCCGAAGTCTGCCGTGCCGCATCATCCCAGCATTCACCAGGGGAGGCAGCAGGGAGGTGGAGATGCAAACGCCGATCAGCGCACTGGAAATCCCACTGCCCTGACCTGAAACCCAGGTTTCTGACTGAACCCTAAACCTTAAAACCCTAAACTCTAAAACCAAAAGGTTCTGGTGGGGTTCCGGGTTTAGGGTCGAGGCTTGCGACCTCACGCACAAGTAGGGTTTGTCGAGTTCAGGGTTTGGGGACTGCGGCTTCAGGACTTTGAGCCTATGTAGCTGTAGAGTATAGGGTTTAGGGTCTTGTGCATTTGGAAGCGGTCCTTCTTTCATGCGACATGCCGTACAAGTACCAGCTGGAGTTTCTTCTAGATGTTTCCCCAGGGCCGTTTGGAACCCCGACGCGAAGATTTGCAAGAAATTATGTGACCTAGGTACACTCTCATGTGAAGTTTAGGGTGGTGGGTATATATTCCCCAAGACTATCTGCTTTCTGCTTGAGCCCTAAACGTACTAAAAGCGCGCAGCAGGTGCTCTAAGCGGAGGATCTCACTAGCTACACTGACCTTATTGAGTCTCCAAAGAGTCTTAAAGATTGATTACCTTGGTAGCCAAGTACTTGCTGGTCTAAGGAGTCTAGGTCGTCACAAAGGAGCATCCACAACTACTCGGCGCCTACTTAAAGGATCATGGGAGATAGAAGCTAGAGTTATAAATAAGGCATCTTCTACAATATAATGACTTATAAGCCCAAATATAAAATACGTATAACCTGGCGTACTAAGTCCCATGACCCTAAAGCTGCAATCATGCAGACGCCTGTACTGTAGGGGCCTAAATAATTACCAATACTATTTTGGAGGGTTCCTCGCTATGAAAAATATACAAAAAAATGGGCCCCCAAGCCCTAGTCTAATTCTTGAGGCCCCTGTAGCATTGCTGCTGAGGCGGTCGTTGGTTTGAGGCGCCTCAACGCCTTCATCTGTTGCTGGCGTAATGATTTCCCTCGGCCTGAAGAAAACACCCTCAAATATGTCGACCCGGTTACATAGCCAACATAATGTAGAGGTCTTAGTAATTAGAATAGGGCTTTGGGGCCCATTATACTACGATTATGAATACGGAACCCCCAAAATAGTATAGGTAATTATTTAATCCCCTATATTAGACCTCGCTCTGTTTGTTCAGATCCTTACTGACTCCGAATTCCCCTTGAACCGAAGATCAGCCGCACCCCCGAGCCCAACTTGCCGCCTAATGCCACCGCCATTCCGGAAAGGGCAGCTACGATGGCAGACATGAGCACGTTGCCTTTCACAACAAAGAAGGGCTGAGAGGGCTTGCTGCAGCGAGTAACTTGAGACTTTCGCATAGTGTGTTGTCTTGCTGTCTTTCATTGGCTAGTTCTTCTCTAACATAGAATCTTTCGGGTCCAAAACATAGCACGGCACCCTTACAAAAAGGACCCTCAAAGGGGCCCTACTTTACAAACCCTCTCGCTCTTCATCGTCGATGAGCCGGGGGAAGGGTGCTCTCAGTGCAATCCCTTCCCTTCTGACTTCGGGATGGCCTTGGCAATCCCTAAACCCCTAAACCCCTTTAAAGGCTAAGCCACTAGACCCTAAACCCCTAAACCCCTAAATCCCCTCTAAAAGGCTAAACCACTAGACCCTAAGCCCCTACACCGCGAAACCCCCAAAACCTACAGTCTAAGCCCCCCTAAACTTCAACAGTTTCAAGCTCCTGCTCTTTGCAGCGCTGGGAAATCTTCGAGGGCTCTGCTTCCACACTGCGCATGTTGTATGTAGGTACATCGTCACCTCATAATGCTCAACATCTCGAAGCACGGAGTATTTTTGCTTTGCCTTACCGAGATATTTCTGACGGCTAATCCAAACAAAACCCCCAAAGAAACGACGACTGGTCTCCTGAGGTCTCTACGTGTCAACCCGCGTCAACCCAGAACCCAGAACCCCACGCCACGAGAACCCACAGCATACCCTCCAGCACACAACTAGAGCCCATTGTTGAGTCTTCAGTTAGTACCGTCAGCCCTGAACCCTAGAGGGAGTCCTAGAATCATGGGGCGTAGGTTTCGGCGATCATTACGTTTCAAGGCCATACGAGTGAAACACCCAAAGCGATGCAAACCAACCAAGAAACGACTCCGCAACGCCCCGTTTCCCATTGCAAATCATGCGGCCTGCGGGGGGGCCCCGTGATGTAATCTGAAGAGTGTTGATGGAGATGAACGAAGTGGAGCCTTTCAGGGGAGGAACCCTAAACCCTAAACCCCAAACCCTAGACTTCTGGTAGGATTGGAGATTTCTAAACCAAAGCCAGCCTTGACCCTAGGATGTGTGGAAAACAGTGTATCTCGCAGGCTACATCTACCATCATCTACGATTTATTCCGACCTCCTCGCGCTACTTTTGATATTCGTGTTCATAGGCTTATTCTTATTACTACTACTGTTCTGCTTTCCTCTACGTGCTACTGGGCTCAGTATTTGGGACTCAGGGGTCAGGAGCAGAACAGTGCGTGCACGAGGGCTTCGCAGAGTTAGGGCTGGGGGGCTTAGAAGCGGAGCAGGCACGGATAGTTTGGTAAAGTTTAGTGCGGAAGGCAGAGGGTTTTGGCATGCGGGATAACAGGGTGAACACGAATCTCCTCTTTCTGGGCTGCAGTGTTTCTAAGGTCTATTTGGAAATAACGGGAATTACGCCTCGGACCTCGGCCCTTTTAAATTCACCAGTCTTTCCTGTGCCACAGAACCACGCCCGTCCCTGCAACATAAGTTCGGGGGGCAGCTGTCACATGCCGACATCCACAGCAAACCCTAAACCCCTAAACCCCTAAATCCCTAAACCCCCTTTGTAGATCCCTTTATAGATCCCTTTAAAGGAATTTCAATCAAGAAGCTGAATAGCAAACCAAGACCTGCGCCGTAAAGACCAGCTGCACATCCCACCTCCGCCCTAGCTTAGGATCCAAACCGACAGGCCCTGAACCCAGGAGGCTCTATGAAACTTTCTCAAAGACTTATGGGTCGTTCTCTAAATTAGGGTCCCTTTTTTGGGTCCCCAATATAGTACGGCACCCTTATAAAAGGGACCCTGAAACGGGACCCGAATTTAGAGAACTACCCTCATGACAAGGTACCAAACTGCCCTGCACCTGTACAACTCTCGTAAGCTTCTCTTTGTAACCTAAGCTCTAAGATGAAGTGTCGGGGTGACCTCGGAAATCTCCGATGGGCGATATCAGGTCTTTCTCCCTGCAAGAGACCCCGAGTATCCTGGGCAGTGGCTTCTTTGGCTCCCGGAGTTTTTGGATTGCCCTGTAACACCGATGAAACACGCAAAACCCACAGCAGATTGGAGCCGACTGGACTTGGGGCTGTGCGGGCTGCTCCATTGAAACTTCTGGATCCGGACATGAAATTTGAAATGCATGATTTTCTTTCGGGGGCTGTGGCTCCGCCATGCAGAAACACATGGGTAGTTCTCTCAATTAGGGACTCTTTCTAGGTCCTCAATGTAGTACGGCACCCCTACGAAAAGGGACCCTAACTTAGAGAACTACTCACATGCAAACGCATGAACAACAGCCCTTCAGACCGTTCCAACATGAAGCTCCGGGCTCCAAATCTCACAGCCAAGAACCCTACCGCCCTCAACCCTTGTGAACTCGCTAGAGCTCACCCTAATATCTGAAAGAAGAAATCCACAATCACTGAGTGAAAGATATATCAAGATCGGCCAATCGAAGTTCCGAATCACTCCTGGACTGGCTGCCCTGCAAATCGGACTTTCCAGCCATTGAAGGCGAGAGAACTTTCTGTCGGACTGCTTACACAAACATGCTCAAAGTGGACAGCCTCAGCACAGATTTCACAAGCCTAAACCCTAAACCCCCATGGGAAGCCCCGGAAGCTGGAAACCTCCCTGCACCGCGAAAGCCGGAAAGCTCCTAAAGCTTTAGCTTAAAGTTTTAACGCCAAAACTTGATCCCCACATGCCAAAATGCTCTAATCACTAATCCCTAAATGTCCGAATCTCTCTCGAGCCAAGGAGCAGCCCGAAAATCGCACCCAAGGCTAGGCAGATCATGGCCTGCAGCCGCAGCTTCGGAATTCAGCCTTTACGCTTTCGGGTTTGAGACTAGGCCGTAAAGGTAAATCAAGATTACGGTTTAGGGCTTCTGAAACTTGGCTCATGCCTTCTGAAACTCTTTAGAAGCAGTCATAAGATGGGTGATAAAAGCTGACCAGCTACGGGTTATAATAAAGATGCTAGGACCCCATCTTCAAGTTCAGAACATGTTCTTCCGGAGTCTCGGGAAGGCAATGCCCATGCGCCTGAATCCTCGACACAAAAACCAAAGCCAAAAAGGCCTCAGAGAAGCAACGCCCCAAACGCCAAGCATCGAATCCAAAGGGGGTAAAATAATAGTATAGTACCTACATTGGTGGGGGCCTAAGTAGCAACTATTTCGGTACTTGGACCCTTTGGGGAACCCCACAACTTCTGAATGTCCAACGACAAGATTTCTGACACAGAAACCTGGTAGACTCCGCATTAAAGTTCATTAAAGATTCCGCGCGAAACCCGAAGTCGGAATTCCTAAATCCCCCTAAACCCAAAGACGCGTGGTACTTCACCAAACCCTCAGACGGTTTGGAGGGAGGAGGAATGCTCTACATTGACCACCAAAACCGACTTGGTTTGTAGGGGTCGATCAATTTCATAGTAGAGTCGACAATAATAAGAACCTACAGAAGAGTATGTTATTGTAGTTTAAGGAATGGGGGGAATGGATCCCTATGATCATCCTTTAAGGCCGTTGATGACCCGTTTCCATGAACCATTCCCATTCCCTACACAGAATCAGGGAGACTGCTTAAAGGATCACGGGACTTACTAACTAGGGATATAAATAAGCTAACTATACTTATACCTACTTATAACCCCAATGTAGGTACTTAAAAACCTTACCTACTAAGTCCCATGAACCTCCAAGTAAGCCAAGGTGCGCCAATGAACATGTTCCGAACGCCGCGCCAGGCCAGAGCCAGGTCTTGCACGGTGAGGCCCCACACCGTTGCCTTAGATGAACTCTAATTATATGCAGGGACAAGAAGGATATACTATTGATATTGCCTATTGTCAAGTATTCCTGGCGTGGCCGTCGTTCGGCCGCCGAACATGTCTTGGGGATATGGCACCGGGAAAACCCTAAATCCTTCGGCAGCGCTTACGTCTGGGCAAGTGGGGGTCCCTACACCCTAAACCCTGATCAGACTTTTTCGAGGACCTGTCCCTGCCCTGGACCGTGTCAGAAAACAACCCTAACCCTAACTCCTTAAACCCTAAACCCTAAACCCCTAAACCCTAGACCCCTCAACCCTAAACCCCCAACCAGGCGATCCGCATAATAGGATCCAGAATATCTTGCGCTCTGTAGCTGAGTCGCGAGGACCATCTGCATTAAGGGCGACACGAAGAAGGCCGCCAGAACGAAAACGCTACCTCGGGGAAAGAAAGGAACAGGAGTTTATGGTTAGAGGTTCAGGGCCTAGGATTTGCGACTTGGCATGGAGGGCTTCAGGCTTTGTGCTTCATCCTGCTTGGAACTTCGAAAGGAGCATTTGCAAACTACTTGGGGCTGTATGTGGTTGACTAAGCAAGGTATCTTTGGCGAAGAAGGTTTCGGGTTGAGAGATTTTGCGACCCTGAAGACACCTCCAACGCCCAAACCTCAAGCCAAAACGGTTTAGGGTTTAGGGCAAAATCTTCCACCCCAACTTCAAAGAAAACGCCTAAAACTTACCTAAAAACCGCTGACGTCCCGACCCCGAAAATCGACTCGACCCAGTTGTCGCCAAGATGCTATCTGTGATCAAGCCGATTGCCGCCATTCCGGAGGCCTTGCTGGCCGCGTTCTGCGTCAAGATTCGGTTTAGGCCTTTCTGGGCTTACCCTCATGGTCCATGTACCCAAACAGATATACTTTGGCCTTAAAGTAGTCCCTATTTGGGTACTTTGGGGCCAAAGTATATCCTGCGTACTTCGCGCCCCACTGCTGCTTTGCTTGTGGGGTTTTGCAAGCCCCTTCTGCGAACTTGTGGCGCGATGCTGTCTGCTGTGTCAAAACTGGCCCTGCAAGCCCCTTCCCTCCTGTCCCAGTAGCAACAGCGGGGCTTGAAGGTACATTCCAACGAAGCAGCCAGGACAGCTACTGTAGGGTTTCCGTGTTGTATATCGATCAAGCTGTAGTTTGAATCAAAACAATCCTAAGCCCTAAAGGCTAAAGCCTAAACCCTAACCCCTGAACCCTAAACCCCTAACCCCCCCAAACGCTAAACCCTACATAATCCACTTGGGCCCGGTTGCTGTCACCCCCGACACCATAAACTCGTATTCTCATGTAGTAGCATGGAGAGAAGCGCTAGGAAACAGTAGTAGCAACTTTTCAGTCTTCTACGTACAATCTCGCCACCCTCCGACAGACGGCGCCGAGCTGCAATGGTGATGCACGCCAGGTGGTTGAAGCTAAGGTAGCTGTTTGCCACGATCACGGAGTGGATCTCCAGTGTGGACCTTCGCCGCAGGCACCCTACCCGCAGATACCGGGGCCTGCCGAGGAGTAATTAGTGCACCTTCACAGACTTGAACCGCCGCTTAGAAGCCGAAAGATTCATTTGTTTTCGGGTTTTGGGTGCAAAGATGCGCAGACCCACATCACCCAAACCCTGCAACTTTCCTCGACAGCCGTAGCCCTGACCCACCAGACTCAACTGCGAACTTTCAACCGGCACCAAGCTGCAAGCTGAACTCCGAAACGGAAAGTCAGAAAACCCAGGGCCTCCTACGGTTGATGGTATAAATCCTTAGCACTACCCATAATAAGGAATATATACCCATACTTCCCATAGTTTTAGGGTCCTTAAGGTATTGCAGGGCTTATATCATCAGCAGTACCTCCAAGGCTAAGCTATGAACCCCTGTCTCCTACGTGCTCAGACGACAACTTGCGCAGAATCGTGTAGGACCATCTCGGCCATTACCCAGAGAGCCCAACACCCCTTAACTAAGAAATATACGCCTTCTTAAATTATAGGGGCCTGAAACTGTGATTTAAGGTCTATTCCTTAATTAAGGGGTGTATTGGGCTCTCTGGAAAAAATGTTGAAGCCCTGGGCATCTAAAGCCGTGAAGTCGAGCGGCATGCGGTCCAAAGTCGTGCTGTTGAATTCCTTCCACCTGTGGATTGTATACAGGGCTCTCAGGGTGCTAAACCCTAAACCTTATACCCTAAACCCTAGGTCCTTAAACTCTAACCCCTAAACCTGAAGCCCTAAACCCTAAACGCGAAACCCTAGTCCCTAAACCCTAAAACCTAAACCCTTATACTAAAACCCTAGTCCTTAAACCCTGAACCCTAAACCCTATACCGAGTGTATAGGGTCTGGGATACAGCGAAGCCGAAGGCTTCAGGTCCTGACAGCCTCGGGAGCCTGGGGAGTTACCAGAAAAAAGTTCTAGGGTTAGGTTAAGGGATTTGGGGTTTGGGGTTTAGGGTTTAGGAGTTTAGGGTTTAGGGTTTGGGGTTTAGGGTTTAGGGTTTGGGATTTAGAAGTTTAGGGTTTAGGGTTTGGGGGTTTAGGGTTTTGGGGTTAAGGGTTTGGGCGTTAAGGGGTTTGGGTTAATGGGTTAAGAGGTTTGGGGTTTAGGGGTTTGGGGCTTAGGGTTTGGGGTTTAGGGTTTGGGGTTCAGGGTTGAGGGTTTATGGGTTAAAGTCGGGGGAGGAAGAGGAGGGACAGGGCGCCTAGTTTCTGATGTAGATGGAACTTTGGCTGCAAACTACCCGAGGGGTCGGATGTTCCAATGAATTGACAACGGAAGCCTGCTGTTTCAGGCTGTTTGTGGAGATCACCCTAAACCCTAAAAACTCCCTAAACCCTAAACCCTAAACCCTAAACCCTAAACCCCTAACCCCCTAAACCCCCTAAACTTTAAACCCCTAAACCCTAAACCCTAGTCCCTACCTCGTCGCTCCCTTGATTTCTCCGCACAGGCGCCCAACTGAGGCCGCCCCAAACCGAAACCCAAAAACCAATGGATCAGGGTTTAGGGTTTAGGCTTGAGGTTTTAGGGTGTAGGGCTTAGGGTTTAGGGCTCAAAGCTGGACTTAATTCAGGGCATTACCCATAATAAGGAATAGACCAAAATTCCCATAGTTTAGGGTCCTTAAGGTCATGCTAAGGATTTCTATCATCAACCGTAGTAACGTAGTAGGCTTTGGGGAATCCTTCCCTCCGGCCTCTGGCAACACCCCCGCCAGCAGCTCGAGGCAAAAGGCTCCGGCTGTGGCATCGGGGGCGGCGCGGTGGTGCAGCGCACCTGGCTTGGGGCTTAGGAGCTGAGGGCCCACAGGGTTTAGGATTTAGGGCTTGGGACAGGGTTTAAGGTGTACGGCTTTGGGTTTGGGGTTTAGGAGCTTAGGACCCACAGGGTTTAGGGTTTGGGGTTTAGGAGCTTAGAGCCCACACAGTTTAGGGTTTAGGGCTTAGGCTTAGGGGCTTTGGGCTTGGGGTTTAGGGTTTAGGCTCAGGCTCCAGGAGCTTGCGGCTTAGGGTTTAGGGTTGAGGGCTTGGCTTTTTCTGGGGCTTATAAGGTTAGCTTAGGGTTTGTGGGGTTCAAGGCGTTAGACCGCGGTTTTCTGGGAGCTGCAGACTTCTGGGATTCCTGGCGAAGTTGTTTAGGGGTCTAGGGTTTAGGGTTTTGGGCTTTAGGGGTTTAGGGGTTTAGGGTTTAGGGGGTTTAGGGGTCTAGGGGTTTAGGGTTTAGGGGGGATCATGAAACCCGATACTAATAAGAAAAAACAAAAAAATCACAAAAAACAAAAAACAAAGAGTGTTGCTCCCCTTGAGGCCTCCAAGACGTCGATGGAGCCAAAATCCTCACCAACTCCACACCTCTTAGTCAGGAACTTGCTTTTAGGGTTGTGAGGGGTCCTCGGTCTGCGATTTAGGTTTAGGTTTAGGGTTTAGGGGTGTAGGAGGTTGGGTGAGGAGGAGTTTAGGGGTTCAAGGTGTTCTTTTGGGGGAAAGGTTTCGTCCTTTCTGGGCTTCCTGGGCTCAATTTCTACACGACCTGTCGGGGCGGGCAGTACTCTACTTCAGCTGAGCGTGGTGGCCGCAGAAGAATTGAATTAATTCGGCCTGATTGAGGAAGATGCCGCAACCATGGGAGGGAGAAGCTTTGCTCCAAAAACCTGCAACTCCGACTCCTAGACCGGAAGTGGAGTTAAATAAATTGGCTCAGAGCCGCTGCTTTGCCACCTTGATCAAGTTGGTGAGGTGCTGAGCCCGGACCTTCATGCTGATCCTTAGCTCCCAAAGCTGAAACGATGCCCAACTCCTACAAACCACAGAAAAAGCTAGAAGTCCTATAAACAAAAACCCAGTACTCGAAGCCCCCAGCCTTGAAAGCTCCTATAATATAATCCCAGATCAGGATGGGAGGCCCTGAAGGAGGAGGAGGAGGAGGAGACCTGAGTGAAAAAGCCCACCAACAACCTAGGTGGACTCGGTCTTTCGGGTGCAGATCATGGTGCCGATATGCCCCGCCGCAGATCCGAAACTTTCGCTAAACCCCAAACCCTGATGGGACCGAAACCGATTCTGGTTTAGGGTTGAGGGGGCACCCCCCAAACCTTCACTCCTTCTCCAAAGCGGCGTTTGCACTTTGGTTGTCGGACACGCGCCAGATCCGTTCCTGGATCCGCTGGGTTCAACGACACCGGGGGGTAAGGGTTCCGTGAGATCAGCATCAAAGCGCAAACTACCTATGCCGGACCGCCAGAATACAAGCCATGTGCTACCCTAAACCCTAAACGAAACCCTAAACGGCGTAACGGCTGGCTCGACGGCTAAAGGGTTTAGGGCTTTAGGTTTATAGGGTTAAGGGTTCCAGGTTTAGTAATTTAGGGCTAAGCCCTAAACCCTAGAAGCTTTCATGACACCCAGCCAGGCTGATTGTAGATACTTCGAAGCCAACAGCCCCTAGACCTCCGACAAGCCTGGAGCCGCAATTCCAAACCTCAGACACTAAACATACCAAAAACCGGAGATCTCATGTCCGAAACCATCTGAAATTGTAGGGTTTGGGGGTTTAGGGTGTAGGGTTTAGGGTTGAGGGTTCAGAGTTTAGGTTTAGGGCTTAGGGTTTAGGGCTTAGGGAAATCCACTTCCTAAACCCGAAGCTGGCCCTCAACACACCAAGGTGCGCCCGTGCACACGGCTGGACAGGGATGGAAACCCGATTGCAGGGAGATACCTCGCAGCTGAAACAAGAGGCGTCGTCCTTTTGCTTTGGGTGTTCAGGGTAGAAGCAATAACTGAGGAGCTGTAACTTCGGAGTTAACAGTCCTTGCTGCGCTTCTGTACATCGCCGAAACATGGCTCTCAAGTGGTGATACTCGCTATCGCGGCTCGGGCACAGGATAGGGGCAACGTACTTAAGAAGATACCTCTCTCGGGTCGTAGAAAGCTGCCCCGAAGACCTCGCTGAAAAAGCAAGCTTCGAAGCCTCTCGTTCAAATCCGCAAAGCCACAGCACAAGCCTTCAAAATCCAGATCAAATCTTGCACGATTGAGTCCAAAGGTCATCCAGGTGGTCGATGATTCCCGCACACGTCTCGGAAAGGGCTTGACCTTTGTGTCTTCAAGATCCCAAGGTCGAACAGGACAAGGTCGAGCTTACTTGCGTCATGACAGGCTAACAGGCATTTTGATCACTGCAATGTGGGCAGTTCTCTAAATTAGGGTTCCTTTTTAGGTCCCCAATATAGTACGGCACCCTTTCCAATTCAAGGACCCCCAAACGGACCCTAATTTAGAAAACTACCCAAGAAATACACAGTTGTAGAGCTGCTCATGTTTGCTCGAAATCTGAAGTGCAACGTTCCCTGCCCCGGGTCTCGGGTGCACGGGGATCTGACCTGCACTGGATCCTAGACCGTCTTCGACTTCTTCGATCCCGAATGTATGGGCCAACACTATGGCAATGGATTCCGGATAATGTTATGCTACAGATTTCCCTCAGCTCGACCGGACCAGTCTTACGTTGCAGTAAGGCTCCGCTGTTGACTGCCGGTTGCCTGAATCACTGAAGCACACTCCAACTTCAAGCCCCTAGGCCAACCCAACAGACACCGCTCAGTAGCCCCACATAGTCGTCAACTAAGCCCTAAATCCTAAACGCTGAACCCTAAACCCCTAAACCCTAAATCTCTAAACCCTACCAAAGCCGGTACTCACATCAAAATACATGGGAGCTTCCGGAAAGATAGGACCCCCCCCCCCCCCGAATGTGAAACTGCACGCTGCGATCCTTGTCTTAAGGTCCGTGAACAACGGGACCCTGCCCAGAAACCCGTCCGTAAATCCTTCCGACCTTCTCGGAATCCGGGGCTCCAGCAGAGCCTCGTCAGTTGCCTGATATTTTCGCTGTCTTTTGGCGTTGCCAACAGTTATCAGCACAAGTCTTATGTTTACTGCTATGCTGGCCACGGAATGAACTTCTTTGAATGACAGGCAAATGGTTGTCGTGCTTCGCGCTATTCCACTCACCGCGTCTATGTCTTTGAAATCGCAACTACGGTTGATGAGATAAATCCTGCATTACCCAGAATAAGGAATATACCCTAGCGTCCTTAAGGTAATTATCTATCATCGACAGTATGGCCACGAGGGGGTCCTGAACTCGAAAGCCTGATCTTTACCCTGAACCAGGGGGCCCTGGGTTGCAAGCACGACGGCTGTCGAGTAGAACTGCAAGGTAAGCTTGCTGCCGCTGCAAAAAGAGGATTTTGGATCCTCTGATGACCATGATGATGACGACGATGACGACTGCCGCAATGAGAATGAGGGGTTCAGAGGGCACTTTTCAAATCGATCGTCTGACCGAAGCCCCAAACCCTACACCCGGCTCTACACTCTCAAACCCCGACTTGTTTTCACCGGGGCCAAAACCACAAGGATAGTTCTCCAAACTAGGGATACTTTTAGGGTCCCTTTTTATAAGGGTGCCGTACTACTTTGGGAGCCCAATAAAGGGACCCGAATCTCGAGAGCTGCCCAGAAGCAGGTGACAAGCATGGGCCCCCTCGAAACCCCAAGAAGGATCGGGCCGAGGGACCCCTCCGGAATTCCACAGAGCTTTACCAGAAGGCAGCTCATGGCGAAGAGCGATGTTGCAAAAGGCCAGAAAGCTACAGGGTTCAGGGTGTAGGGCTTATAGGGCTTAGGGTTGCGGACGTTTTCTAATTCTAATAGTTGCCTGCAAATTGTTGATCTTCTGCCCCTGTCAGCCGGCATCATGACTACCACTTTGTGCACAAGCTGTTTCAGGGGATCGGTTAAACACCTCCAAGATCGACCCAACCCTCTTAACATATTTGTTGTCCTGAGCCCTATCAGCTGCTTGATTTAACTCTAGACCCGTCAAAGCTATAGAACAGAATTGAGCGTCTTGGTCCCAATCCTAAAAGCTTTGTTGATTCCAGGGCTGCTTGCCACAGCCAGAGCCTGAATGGCTGCAGCTCCAACTTGTTGGCGAAGTCGCGCCGGTTGCGGAAGATGCAAAGATGTTAGAAACAGCCGACAGTCTACGACCAGTAGTAGGACTCATGATGCACTCTTACCGATCAGGACAAAGATGCTGCTGCTGGCGAAAAGGGAGACAGCAGGACAGCAGGACAACCTGATCTCCCAATCTCCTGATGCAGCTAGCCTCTCTAAGCTGGTGAAAATGCAACCTTTGATTTCTAGCAATGGCCGTCATTGGTGCAGAACCCAATGCCTGCTAGAATACATTTATATGGGTAGTTGCCTAAATGAGGGCCCCTTTTAGGGTCCTTTCCATAAGGGTGCTGTGCCATTTTGGACCCTAATTTAGGGAACTACCCACCTGCTCTGGCAGTGGCTTTCTCGATGATCAGGTCCTCGAAGGTGCACTGCGCCGCCACTGCGTTAGGCATCAAGCCCAGCACTGCCCAGATCATGCTGCGAAGATGCTCTGAGACAGTAGTGCCAAGTGTACCACCCGTGCTCTGCGATGCAGGGGTGCTGACGTCGCTAGACGCGCCAATGGCACTCTGTGCTGAGTTTCCGGGTCGATCACTGTCCCTCGTTGCCTCGTCTGCAACCAAGCTGGCCGCGCTACTAGACAAGTCCACATTGTCTGGCAGGTTAATCTGATCCTCCTGACCTTGTGCGGGCATCTGCCTGAGCAGCTGTTCATATCTGGAGCGAATCTCTGCGATCTGTTCTTCAAACTTCAGTCGCTGCTCCTGCAACCTGGAAGCCTCAGTTGCTGAGTTCTATCGGGGATAATATATTTCCCAACAACCCTAAGCCCTAAACCCAAAACCCCTAAACCCTAAACAGGGTCTTGGGTTTTGGGTTCCTGTGCCATCTGGAGGCGTGATCACGGTATGCGTCTTCCAGCTGCACTTGGTGCTGGACCTCCTGAACCTCGAGCTTGCTCAGCAGAAGGTTTCGCTCCTCCTCAAGCTCCTTCGACTTGTTTTCTAATTTTCTTAGGGTTTAGGGTTTAGGGTTTCGCTCCTCCTCAAGCTCCTTCGATTTTTTTCAGGAAGCTCAAAGAATTTTTTCCCTCTCGCATGGCTGAGGATCTATGCCCACTAGCGAGGTCGGATTGGGAGGACCAATGTTCGAAGGCTGCTGTGCTAGACGAAAGTGATCAGTCCATGAAGGTACCTAGCCCTAAATTAAGCCAATAACCAGCATCACGGAAGGTCTGGGTTTAGGGTTGATTTAGGGCAGCTTTGAATCAATACCCCTCTCCCCGAGATGCAAGATCACCCTCCCTCATGTCATTTTCTTTGTATTTCCCTGGCATTCCGCTATGACGCCTTACAAATTCGATTTCCCTACCCCCCGAAATGCCCTCCCCTAAACCCTAAATCCAAGCCTTGAGCCCTAAATTACTAAACCAAATCCCGACTCTCAACCCAAACCCTAAATTCGCTTACGGGATCCAGCAAAACGAAAGCCCGAGATCCTTCACGCGCTGGCACAGAGCCAGCTCTGGGTCACCATCTTTTGCATCAGCAGTCCATGCGTCATCTGAACCTTGTTCAAGTAACTTAAGTCCAGTCTCGAAACCAAGCTCTGACTAAGTTCTGACCATTGAATATCACAACGGGGAGCAGACGCATCCCCACACACACACACATGTTTATTTATTTATTTATCTGTTTGTTTATGTATACATCATGTATATGTGTATATCTGCAATCTACTATTCAATGTCGGTACAAACACATGTGTAAAATACTCGCATGTGTGTGTATATGTATGTATGTATGTATGTATGTATGTCTGTCTGTCTGTCTGTCTGTCTGTCTGTCTGTATGTATGTATGTATGTATGTATGTACCGATAGACAGATAGATGGATACATCGTTAGATCGGTAGATAGATAGATTGATAGACTGCTAGATGGATAGAAAAGTAGATACATAGACAGACAGACAGACAGATAGATAGATAGATAGATACGGCGGATAGATAGATAGATAGATAGATAGGTAGATAGAAACAATAGATAGATAGATAGGTAGGTAGATAGGTAGATAGATACAATAGATAGATAGATGGATAGATAGATAGGTAGGTAGATAGATAGATAGACTTAGACTCATAGATAGCGGATAGACGCGTAGATGGTTAGCTGGATAGGCAAGTACGAAGAGACAGAGAGAGAGAGAGAGAGAGAGGGAGATTATACAACCCAAACAGGCAGCTTGCTCAACTGCTAAGGCACTGCGGCCGTTTCGCTTGCACTCCATCGCCAGCTGAAGCTTTAAGGAGTTGACTTCCTGTAACCTGGGAGGTAGATTAAGACTGAGGGCTTCGGGCTTAATATTCCGGGGGTTAGGGTTTAGGGTTTAGGGTGTGCATAGGTATTTCGATAGGACCACACGTATAAAGAAAACGAACAAGTTTATTGAAGTGCCACCTCTCGGCTGGCGTATGGCCTCTGTCTGACGCTGCTGCAATGCCTGGATGGCTATCTTCCGGGAGCTTTGGCGTTGGACTTTGACATGGCTTCAGGGTTTAGGGTTTACTTTAAACTACCATGACATACTTTGTGGAGGTTCTTCAAGACCCAGAAGATGGAACGTGCGGGACCCTACAAAAAGGAGGGTAGTTCAGGCCTGGCTTTGGGACAGCACCTGTAGCCCCGGCAAGGGATGTGGTGACCATCGGCCCTAAACCGAAGCTTAACCCTAGAAAAACCTACCCCTTTAGAGTTCCTTAGTATGATTTCCTTGTATGAGTCCTTCAAAAGGTAGGTTGTTTGGTGTTAAAGGAAGCTCTCAACCCTAAAACCTAAACCCTAAACCCCAAACCTTCAACCCCAAACCTTCAACCCCAAACCCTAAACCCCAAACCCTAAGCCCTAAGCCCCTACTCAGCACCCTAAGTTGCATCTTGCAAGCGCAGGTTGGAGATCCGTAGGGACTCGGCTTGAAGCTGAACTTTCTCCTGCAAAGGGCTCCCTACGGTTGATGATATAAGTCCTGCATTACCTTAAGGACCCTAAACTATGGGAATTATGGTATATTTCTTGGTAAGGGTAATGCAAAATTTGCATCATCAACCGGAGGTGGGATGTAGGGGGTTTAGGGTTTAGTAGGTTGAGGGGGGTAGTCAGTCCAAATCAGAATACTTCTATAAAGGATCCATCATCCTACCCAGCTTCGTCCCGGCTGTCCCCAAGGGTCCGAGTACCCAAATACTATGTAGTTTGGCCGTAAAGTAGGGATTACTTGAAGGCGAACTATATATACTATTTGGGTACCATGGACCCTTACGCTCTCACAACTCGGACAAGCCAGGCGAGGCCATGGACCCTTAGGGTTTTGAGGCCCCACCCCACTCCTGCAACTCGAAGTTCGTCATTTCCTGGCGCTCCTCTTTGTCGGTCTGCTTCTTCATCTCTACGAATAACGTCCTTAGCCCCCAAAATCAGTTCTATATGTATAATGCAGGGGCAACAATTATTAGAAAAGCGTTTTGGGGTATATTGTACTATAAGTGTATTAAGGAAGCTCCAAAACAGCATTGGCAATTATTAAGGCCACTATATAGTAGGGGATATGTTATCTCCAAAAGTGTGCAGCATACTAGTTCAGCTACTAAGTGTCTCCTCGAGCTCTCTCACTTTGACGTTCAAGCCATCCACCTGATTCAGCTGCTTGATCCTGTCCTGATTCCCCACGCCAAAGGGGGAATCACGCTACACCCCTAAACTTCCTAAACCCTAAACCCAAAGTCCTGTCCTGATTGCCAAGGTCCCGCAAGCGGATATTCTCCGCTGAAGCTGCTGCCTGCACAAGTCCCGCTTCTGCGAGCTGCCTCTGTAGCTGAGCTATCTCCTGGGTTGTAGGTTGGGAATTACCTATAGTCTCCATTGTCGTTCCTTTTTTTGGTTTAACCAATTTAGTATTAAGGATCCTAAAAGGTTACCCCAAAAAGGAACCGCAATGGAGACAATAGGTAGATTGGGAATTAGGGCTAAGGTCTTTTAGGGGTTTAGGGTTTTTGGTTTAGTGCGTGTTGGGGAGTTCCCAAGAGTATTCATGAATAGGTACCTCTATAATAGATCATACAGGGAAGTTACAAAGCTTCCCAAACCCTCAGACTAGGGTCTGCAGTCTAAAGTCCATAAATAGTAATTATCTAGTTTGGGCTGTTTGGAATCTTTGGGAACCTGCTGCCCAGTCTCTTCCATTTGCTCTGCCCGCTGACCAGCATGGTCATCACGCAGGTCCTGCTTCGCCTTCCGCTCGACTGTCAATTCGGACAAGAGCTTGTTCAAGAGATCGTTCTGCGCAGATTGATCCTCACTTGCGCAGCAATTTCGGGATCTAAATTTTTATAATCTCTGGGATTACAATACCCCATGCAAGAATGCTATAAAGGTTACCTGCTCTACAGCTAAGGATCCGGATTCGTGAGGTCGTCCAGATCTCCACAGTCGCTGCTGCACTCGCTCGCCAGGGACTCTGCCGCACGTGTTGGCAGCCCAACAGAGCCTTCTTAGTTGCGGGGTTCATAGGGACAAAAAAGTGTATACTTTCACTCCTATAAGGGATCATCTTATCCCAAAAAGTTTAAAGTGTACTCATTCAGCTACTAAGCCGTCTTCCTCTTCCTGCTCCTCCTCTATAATCTCCAGCATACCCTTGCTTGCTCCCTTTCCTCGCCCCCTGCCTCGCGACCTTCCTCCTCCTCCCCCTCCTGCTGCCTGATGTGCCTGACGCAACTCTGAAGGAGACTTTGCTTGGTCAATGGCTTGCATCGCTTGCTTTTTCTTTAGTCCGAGAAGTTCCAAGCGAGCTTCGCTCATGTCCTTCCGATTCTGGGTCCTCTCCTCGATGAGCTCATCAACCTGCTCTTGGAGACTCGTCTCACGGTCGGTTGCTGTGTTTCCGAGGCTTGAGGTGTCACGCCTTAGCAGCACGAGCTGGCGATTTGCACTGTTCAGCAAGCCCTCTAACTCCTCAACCCGATTGTCGCTGAGCTCCTTGGCCTTTTCCTGATGCTGGATCTGTGCGGCTTCCCGCTGCTTTGACTGGCGGAGATCCCATCGAGCTGCATCGAGTTCGACTTGAGCCTCCGCGGCTCTTGCCTCAGCCTTCCGGTCCCTGTCTTCAAGCTTCAGCCGGTCTTCGTTCGAGGCAGCTAGAGAGGACGCACTCTTGGCCTTGTCGCCCGCAGCCTTCACTTCCACGGCATCACGCTCGTCTTCCGCTTGCTTCCTAGCCTTGACTGCATCTGCAAGCTCCGATTCGATCTCCGTCATCCGCTCTTGATTCCGGTTGTCGATATCCGTGCAGTCCGCTATCATCTGCGTTGCCTGAGCATCCCGTGACTGCAACGCCGCTTCCAGCGCTTGATTCTTCGCTTGCAGATCCTTGACCTAGGTTGGCCCGGTACCTATAGTCTCCATTGTAGTTCCTTTTTGTGGTTTAACCTATTTCATATTCAGGATCCTGTAAAGTAACCCTAAAAAGGAACTACAATGGAGACTAGAGGTATAGCTTCTGACGTAGATTTGTAAACAAGATCCCCTTAGGCCCTATAGGGAAATTCGGGAAATACAAGATATTCCAAAGGCCTACCCAGTGGCCTGTTGGCTGTCATCCGACTGGAAGGAGTTTGAGCTATTCGTGAGGCTTCGGATCAGGCTTTCCTCAGGCTGTCTTTTCCCACTGCTTCCGGGAGAGCCACTACGTGCCTTTGAGCATCTGTCTTTTCCGGACCTTCCGGAGTCTGCCGTAGATGGTGCAGCAGCAGGGGAAAAGATGCCAGAAGGGGGCAGTGCTTGTGCAGGTGCCTGAGTCTGCCGAGACGCGATATCTCTCTCTGCTGCCTCTGCATCTTGCAGCCTGTCACGAGGCTGTGACTTGCCGCTGCTGCTGTCGCTTCCTGCGCCATAAGAGTTCGCACGCGACTCTAGGAGGAACCTCCTTGACTGCAGGCCACTAGCCAGCTCTTGCTCTTCCGGCGATAGGGAGTTCCAGCTTCGGGCAGAATGCGCAGACCTTCCAGACACGCTGCTTGCCCTGCTGTGGTCGCTTCGATCAAGGTCAGCACGTTCCATGGTCGCTGCCAGCTACAGCTATGGACAAAGTCGGCTTGCCGACTTGCAGTGTTCTTGTGGTGAAATGTGTTGCTCCTGCTTTGCTTGTGGAGATCGAGGAGTTAGGGCATCCTGGCAGAGCCGCAGCGCAAGGAGAATGTCGCTGTTGAGAAAGCATAGATCTCAATATCATGATGATGCTGATGACGACGATGATGATGCTTAAGATGTGCGCCAAGCTTAAATTAACCTTTGGACTTAAGATGATGAAGAACATGGTGGCAGACAAGGCGATGACTCTGGTGGAGATGGCAACAACATCAGCAGGTACGAGGAAAGGAACTAGCATACTCATTTGGCGTTGACTTCGCTGGACCTCTAAAAGGGGGAATGAGTCAGTGGTCTCGATCTCGAGCTTCGATTCAAGTACAATAGCCGACAGTATCCCCCTAAAGCCCACACGCCTGCTGAAAGCCTGCCTACTAACTCCCCCGACTCCCCGGATCCTTGAAGCAAGGAGTTGGGGCTTCAGGGCTACCTGTAGTCTCCATTGTAGTTCCTCTTTGGGGGTACCTTTTAGGATGCTTAATATAGAATTGGTTAAACCATGTTAAACCAAAAAAACTACAATGGAGACTACAGGTAGTGTTGAACTAACTAGGAACCAGGATCCAGGGTTTAACCCGAAACCTTAGAAACTACCTATAGTCTCCATTGTAGTTCCTTTTTGGGGATACCTTATACAATCCTTAAGATATTTTTGGTTAAACCAAAAAAAGGAACTACAATGGAGGCTGGAGGTAGTGGCTTCAGGTTCAGGGTTTACGATTTAGGATTACCCTAACCTTAGGGCCTTAAAAAAAGGGCAGTAGGTCAGCATCACAGACATCTCTCGAGGCACGCCGGCGCCAGAAGTGCCGTTGCGCGCTGCTCACCTTCCTCCTTAACCTGCAGCAGCTGCGTGCCGACCCAGACCCCCGGAGGATCAAAAAAGTAGATCCCCTAATTTGGGACCCTAACTAATTACTGGAGGGTACTTTACCCATAGGCTCCTTAGTAGGTCCTTTTTGGGATTACCTTATACGATTCTAATATGAACCGCAAAAAGGAACTGCTTAGGAGCCTATGGGTATAGGAACCCCCTTTAGGGATCTACTGATTGGATCCTCCCAGAAGCTGCAAGCCGAGGGCTTCGGGCTTTGGAGTTCTACGCCGCTACGCCCTAAAGCCAAACTTTCCAGGGCCGAGGCCTCTACCTACCTTTTAAGGGTTAAGGGTTTCAGCACTCACTCTCGGACTTACCTGCGCGAGGTTCCTGGGTTTTGGGTTTAGGGTTTAGGGTACCTGTAGTCTCATTTGTAGTTCCTTTTCTGGTTTAACCAAATATATCTTAAGGATGTTATAAGGTATCCCCAAAAAGGAACTACAATGGAGACTGTAGGCAGGCCATAACATCGCACTGGCATGAAGCTGAGCTGACCATACAAAGTTTTGACCTTTGCTCGAATGCTGCGGCTGCTTCTCCAACTCTTTTGTACCCTTAGGCTCCAAAGTAGTTCCTTTTTGGGTTTACCCTATAGGGTCGTAAATAGGAACCACAAAAAAGGAACTACTTTGGAGCCTATGGGTAGCTTTAGATAGATAACCCGAGGTCCTAAGCCCTAAATTCCTAAACTCCTAAACGGTCCTAGACCGTTTCACCGTGTGCTTCTGCTTTTGTGGCCTCGTGACTCCACGAGACATTCGTTCCCGAGTTCTTGGCGTCGTCGCTGTTTACTACAGGCTCTGCGCCGACATAGCATAATACAGGGGCCGTAATTTCAACAGTTAGAACAAGGTTTTGAGGTATGCTGTGCTATGATGTACTATAACTGTAGCGATGAACCCCAAGTAGTATTGGTAATCTCTTGGCCCTCATAGTGGAGGAGCTTGCAATTGAAGGTGTGTGAGAAGCTCTGCTTTAGTCTGGTGCAGGGCAGGCTCGTGCAATGAGGGTTCCACCTGAATGGCTCGCAGGAACTCCTCCCCTGGCGGTTTAGAGCGGTTTAGACGGCAACCAGCAGTGCGTCGTCGGCAAATTCCAAGTCGTACAGGGCTTAGAGTTTAGGGTTTAGGGGTTTAGGGACTATAACACTTCATTGACCAACTGTCAGTGGGCACACCATCTACGAGAAGCTGGCAGTCTGCGTCATACAAAAGAACTGTCAGGACCATGACACATTCAGATGTACATAGGAATTTTGCTCAGCGGGCATCCTTGGCAGCAGCCCGTGCGCAGTGAAGCTTGTTCTGGTCTCTGGCAATCTCCACATTTTCGGCGGTGCACTCCGGTGCGTTCGATAGTGATACTACCCCTGGGCTGCAAAGTAGTTCCTTTTTGGGGCTACCTGATAGGATCCTAGATATTTTCACAAAAAGGGACTACTTTGGAGCCTATGGGTACACACATCGATTGGTGATCCGCTGTCTCGAAAGCCGCTTTAATCCAGTCAAGTAGAACTACATTCATCGGGCGTCTGTCCGGTATTTAGGGAGCAGTCCTGTTACCTTCGAAATATGGGCGTTTCCGATAACCAGGGGTACCTTGTTTGGGGGTCCTTAGAATGAGGATCCTACTATCTAGGGTACTATATTAGGGTCCCCCTTTTTCGGAAACCCCAATATATACAGGGGTTGCAAATAAAGTGCTACGGTCGGCTCGGAAGCCCGACTGTGCACTTCTTTCAAGGTCCTGATCATGCGCCGCAGCGACTCGATTTTGTAACAATGAAGCCGTAGACCTTATGCTATTTTGGGTACATGGACCCTTAAACCCTAAACCCATATAGAGCCCTTAAAAGGAACCCTTAAAGGAACCCAAAAAGTCGATGCTAGTTGGGCACATGGACCCTTAGGGGAACCTTAAGCAACGCGGTGTCTGACTTGTAGTGCAGCATCCCACGAGTTTCGGCAGTAAGTGGTCTGGTCCCGACGCCTTGTTGCAGTTGAGTTCTTTGATTAATGGGGGGGGGGCCTGAATAATTAGAATAGGGTTTTGGGGTCTAGTATACCATATCTATGATAAGAACCCCCCCAAAATAGTATATGCAATTAGTCAAGCACCTATATTGAACCCTAACTTCCTGAGTATACCCCGAATCCCCCTAAAGTTTAGACCCCGCGGCTCCTGTTGGTTCTTGCATAGTAAAGGTTGGGGGGACTTTTGAACTTCATAGCCACGGTTTGAGGGTTTAGGGTTACTTAGTAGGGTTTAGGGTTAGGTAGGGCTTAGCGTTAGTTAGGGTTCAGGGTTAATTGGGGTTTCGGATTTAGGGTTAGTTAGGGTTTCGGGTTACTTAGGGTTCAGTTGGTCCCCATTGTTGCTCACTGAGTTGAGAAATTTGTCCAGCCAACTCACGGAACAGGGACCCCGTTAAGTTTCAATCCAGATTTCCGCACCCTAAGCCCTTGTCGGTTTACGTTTTACCCATAGGCTCCTAAGTAGTTCCTTTTTGTGGTTTACATTTAGAATCCTATAAGGTAATCCCAACAAGGAACTACTTAGGAGCCTATGGGTAAACCCTAAACCGACAGACTTGACTAGCTTTCGAAGCCTTGTCTCGCATTGGCGTTTGTGCTTGCAGGCCCTGGCGTTATGCTTAATATCGGAACCTGATTCAGAAACCCAGGGTCTTTACTAGGGCTCTTTATGTAAAACCCAATATTTTGGGGTTATCGGACAAGGTTTCTTGATCAGGTTCCTACACTAAATTTTGTATCTGTCTACTGCCTCTGCAGAGAGGTCGGTCGGAAGCTTCTTAGCTGTTCGTGCGTTAATGTTTAAGTAGGGTTTATGGTTTATAAGGTTTAGGGTACTAATTTCGGTGTGATCCCTGGCTGTGTTGGGCGGTCGGGTGAGGAGGGAATTGTTGTTTCTTCGCTTCCCAGATTCGCCTGTCTGCGCTGCCCGGTGTCTCCACTATGTCTGCTGACATTGCGCGCGGTTGTAAATATGCCATAGTATCACTAAATAAACATACTACTGTATTAAAGGGAACCCTGCGGAACAACTTTGGTCATTCAGGCTTCTTTATTTTTCCTTCCGAAGTGCGCTGGATTTCCCTTGGCCCATGCCCACCTAACTTTGCAATCCCTTGAAGTTATCTTAAATTGTTTTTTGCGGTGTGGACGAGATTTTGCTTTCCCGTGACCAGGTGTGCGGCCCATTGCCTGTTATAGTGAAATGAAGCTGAATCCGGCGGCTTAGGCAAATATACGGCGGCCTGCATCCATGCCGTACGCGCCATTATTCATAGTCCTCTCCAATACGCCCTCCAGCCTATTGTAACGAACAAGAACAAGCCCCTGCAATCCTAAGCCTAAACCGTCTTTAAACCCTAAGCCGCAGTCAAGATGCCTTCAGCCAGAAAGAAATAGGCTCCTCACTTTGGTTGAGCACCTGACTCTTCGATCCACAGCCCCCTAAGCCCATGACCCCCTGTCCCCATACTTTCATGAAGCCTCCTTTTCCCTTTTTTAGAAGTTGTCCCGTCTGCCATGTTAAGCCTGATCCCCCAAAGCCCACGGCTGAACCCTAAACCGTACCTTCACCCCAGAAAGCCTACAAGCTTTCGGGCAAAATCCCTGATAAGGAGCCCTAAAAAAAGGTTGGGTTTTGGGACATGTAAGAGATAACCCTTGAACTCTTACCCAAGTACCCCCCCTCTCTCTCCCAAAAACAAACCTAAAGTCTGCTACCGACTCAAGCCTTGCTCCGGAGCCTTCCCCGACTGCTTACTGGTGGATCTTTAACGGCTTTAAGGTTTAGGGGTTGAGAGTTTTAGGACTTGTCAAGTACCCTAAACCCTAAACGGGAACTAGAGGTCTACCTTTGGGATTGCTCATACGAACTATACAGAGTTATAGAACCGCAAGAACGTTACCTACTCTGCTACAATGATTATATTATTCAAGCTACACGAGGGGCAGCTTGTGGGTCTTAGCACACTCCCTTGTTCAAGAGCGTTAGTATAGTATAAGCT